CGTAATTACATTGAACCTTATGGGAAAATTTGCTTCGAGTCGGGACCAATTCGGGTCGCGACCAGAGTCGCGGAACGAATTAAGTTCGTGAACTGAGGTTCCACTGTATTAGGAAGAAGATAATTTGCCTTGGCTGACCCCATTGTTCCAAGATAGGTGAATTTTGCTCATATGCTACCCATATGGCTTTTTTTTTTGGCTAAAAAAGTGGCCAAAATTAAGGAACCAAAGCAAGGAAAAGTGGGTGCCACCTTGCAGATCTGCTTTGATCAAATTGCTTATTAATTGAAAAAGGTCCATCAAAGATTTGTATGGCCCTAATTTTAAGTTCTTTTGACTTTCCATGTTGATTATATGCTTCACACTACTCCCTAAGGGATTGCTAACCAGACAGTGAGAGGGCTCAGTAGCTTCAGTGACCTCGTGTCAGCCCTAGAAGGTAAACTAGACTAAGAAACCAATGCCATATAGGTCAGAACTACTTTAATTGTAACAGCTATGGTAACAGAATCACGCAAACTTGAATGTGCTTCCCCCCCCCCTTTATCTTTGTGTAAACTAGGGAGGGGCTTGTCCGAGAGGTTTTCTTAGATTAGTTTCTTGATCTGTGTTCAAATGCCGTTCAAATGCTGTTGGCTTGGTAGTGGCCCAATTTCAATTTGAAATTGACAGAACATGCAAGCAAGATGTTCTGCTTGTGGTCAGAGACAAGAATGCAAAAACTGGAAATATTAAGGATAAAAATGTAGTGTACGGTTTAGGAAACTGTAATGAAGCAGGAGAATGGCATCAATTTCTGCTAATCCAATGATTTCTCCAGTGCTATTAACAGTCATCAGACAACCAAAACAATGCCTATATAGATGTCATCCCCAGATGGAGTACACAGAAATCGAATTGACTACAGTATATTATTGGTACAAGGAAGTAGAAGAGCTCAATTATAACAGTAAAGACATGGCCAGGGGCTGCTCATGTACAAGTTCCAAGTTAAACTAAAGTGGAAGAAGGAACCCAACCAGTTTTCACAATATAATCGTGAGCGTATATCCATCATTTTCAGGGAGAACATCAGGAATCACTTTGAAGTCCTGAACCTCATGGATAGAAGAACTGTGGAATTAACTTAAAGAAGTTGTAGAGGATGAATGTGAAAAGAGAAACAGCAAAATATAAACTGGATGTTAGAACAAATCGTGGAAATTGCCAAGAAGGGAAAAAAATCCAACCAGGAAAGAAGGAACTTTCAGAGAAGAGACAAAAAGCAGTACTACAACAGCATCTATAAAGAAATTGAAGATGGAAATAGACATGAAAAAACAAGGAAAGTCTTCCAAAAGATCTCTGAACTCAGAAGGAGGTTCCAACCTTGAATAGGTATGCTAGAAGACACCAATGGACAGAGGGTAACTGATTCTCAGGAGGATGAAACAAAGATGGAAGAAGTATATTGAAATTCTGTACAGTGGAGATGTTAACATCCAAGATACCCTAGAAGATATTCTCTACAGTACTTACAAAACCTCTAGTGCTAAAAGTTAAATCAGCACTCCAGATATTCAGAAAGTCAGAAAGCTACAGGAATAGATCGAATATCTGCAGAAATATGACAAGCATCAGAAGAAGAATCAGTAAGGATTCTAACTAAGCTATGCCAGCAAATCTGGAGAATGACATAGTGGCCAACAGATTGGACAATGTCAATCTACATACCAATAGCAAAGAAAGGAGACTTAACAGACTGTGGAAACTATTGCACAATTTCTTTAATTTCACATGCTAGCAAAATAATGTTTAGGATTATCTAACACATATCAGGCCCTACACTGAAAGAAAAATGCCAGATGTTCAAGTTGGTTTTAGAAAAAGTCAAGGAACAAGAGGCATTAATGCTGATGCAAGCTGGATAACTGAAAAAAACTAAGCATACCCCAAATAAATCAATATATGCTTCACTGATTACAGAAAGTCCTTGATCATGTAAAGCTGTGGAATGTCCATAGTAAAATAAGAATCCCATAACATCTCATTCCCCTTATGTGAAACCTAGACACAGGTCAGGAAACATGGACAGAACATGGCAAAACAGACTAGCTCCAGGTTGGCAAAGGAATGATACAAGGCTGTATAATCTCTCCCTGTTTATTAAGCCTACATGCTAAATATTTATTGAGAGAAATTGGATTGGAAGAAGACGACATGATTTTAAAATTGGAGGAAGAAGTATCAATGACCTGCACTATACTGATGACGCTACTCTAATATCTGAAAATGGAAATGAGCTCCAAACTCTAGGTCAAGGAACACAATGGAAAAATGAGAATGATGCTTAAAAATAAAGGCCAAACTAACTGTAACAGGTAAAGCAACCAAACTTAGAATTGATGGTGAAGGCACTGAAGTGGTGGATAGCTTCTGCTTTTTAGGTTCAACTATCAACAGTAATCCTTTTTTAATACACCATTCTCTTACTGGATTACCTATTGTGATTAGCACCATATCAGTCTGAGTCAATTTCTTCCAGAGGTAATCTGGTGAAACTGTCATCACAGCATTTACTGCAATTGTTTCCAAAAACTATGCCTTGTCTGCCTCACGTAGCTCCCAATCTTCACTACTGAAAAATAGTAATGCTGTAATTTTGTGTAACTTTTCTAATGTGGAAAATAGTCATGTGAAATAGGTAATTAGCACTCCCATTTTATAGCTTTTCAGGTTTATAGTCTGAAGATGGATAAGACTGAGCCAAGATAGCTACTTAAGACTCAGTTAGATGTTATGAAATATGCAGAACTGCCACATCTCTCTCTATCTCTATATTTCATCCTCATAAAATTAAGTACAAGATGTGACAATATCATTTTATTGTTGTTGTCCCTATTAATTGCACGCTGTCATGCCATGTAGTACATCTTCCATTTTCAAAGAGGAAGGGACCAAGACGTAGTGGAGAGGTCAGTCCAAGCCCCTCAATTATTAAGCTAACATTTTAGATCCAACGTTGGGAAGAGATCTGTAAATGCAGATCTTTGATGTCTCAGTCCAACAGTACATGTGTGTTGTCAATTTCCAGCTCTTATATGAACGCAATGGTTAGGCTGAACTTTGTTTTTTGAGGCAAGCAAGTTGCATACTGATACAGCCCATTGTCCTATCTTGGTAAATTTAAGCCAAACAAAGTCATAATACTCTCTTCTTTGCTTGCACTCTTGGGACTTTACTGAGGAGCTATACCATTATGTGGGTTACCCTACTTCAAGCTCACAAGATTGAATACTCACCCATAAAAATTAATGAAACCCTTCCAGATGAATAACTCAAATCTTTTCCTTCCGATATGTGTTTATGTGTGTCTGAGAGAGAAATAGAGAAGAGTGCATCCTATACAATATGAGGCACCAGTTTATCAGTACAATGATTGACTATAGACTCTATAAAGGCTGCAAACAGGCTTACAAGGGTTAGAGAAAAAGGGTTTGGATGAGGTAAAAAAAAAAAGCAAGCAATGACTTTTATTCATGCATTTCTGACAACTATTGACAGAATTCCTATGAGATTTTAAGATTATGGTGAAGCATAATTCAACTGAAATTTGAAAAATAAACTCACAATATACTAACTAAAAGCAGTGCCTTGCATTAATTTTTTTTTAAAAGTCTACTGATCTCCAGTAATATAATAATGAAGGAGCATCTTCCCAATGAGAAAGCTTGGTAGGTGTAGAAACTTCATTTTCTTTTCCTCAACAGGAACATAAATCCAGTGCCTGTTCCCATTCTCCCACCTTGCATTCATCTGTGCACAGGTTCCTAATTCACTATTTGTGTTGAAGACCTGAAATCTGGAATTGTGCATGAAATACTTACTCACAAAGTCTGTATGAAACTTCATGAAGTGTGGATGATTCCCGTACATGTTTAATCTTCAATCCATCACCTCACTAGAACAGCAACAGTGCTTCCAGCTTCAAAAAATCCTTAAAACGTTCTCCTCTCCTGATCAAACCTGACCCAAAGACAGTGGTTGCCAGCAATTCCAGGGTAGAGCAGCCCTCTCAAGTGGAGAAGAAATTATGTGGAAGCAAATCCTGCTTAACCACAAGGCAGCAATAGCAGCTACTGGCTAGCTAGTTAGAAACAGTTGGAGCTGCTGCTTCTCCCTCCCTCCCTCCTTCTCTCTGCCTGCAGCAAACTTAAGAAAGGCAAAATCTCCCTCATATGGAGCTTGATTCTTACTTTGTGCTATCCTGGTAACTGAATTCATCAGTGAGAAGACCAGCCAGCGTGTCACAATACTGGTATAGGTCACAAATCAAAAGCTGGGGGAATTCAATGAGAAAAAGAATGGGTTGGGCATTATTCAATGTCCTCGTTTTTTAAAAAGGTCAGTGCTGTGTGGAATAAGTAATAATGACATATGGCTAAAGTTATATGTAGCTGTTTCTGTGCTGATCTCAGTGAGATACAAATTAGATAATATTATCAAATATCTTATAGGGAGCTTTTTAAATGTAAGATTGTGACTTTATTTTGGCATTATCAGCATTTGTTAGATGGACTTCTCTGTCTAACAAGAACGAACAGCAACTAACAAGTGAATCCTTTTCCATTGTGATTTGCATCTGCATACTTTGAGGAGCCAGACCTGTTGAATTTCTTAATCGATTAGGTACCTTCAAGTTGGTGTTGATTCTTAGTGACCACTCAGCTAGACCTTCTCCAGGTTGATCTGTCCCCAACCTGACCCTTCAAGTCTTCCAACAGTGCACCTATTGCCATTATAATCAGTTCAGGACTTCAAAGTGATTCCTGATGTTCTCCTTGAAAAGGGTGGGTGTATGCTCAAAACCATATCATGAAAACTGGTTGGTCTCTTATTCCACTTTACCTTAACCTGGAACTTGCAGAACATGTTGAGTATCATCCAATCTGAGGAGCCTAACATCTGGCACTGTATGATCAATAATTTTATCTTGTCTATTCATGTGGTTTTCTTGGTAAAACACAGGAGTGGTTTACCATTGCCTTCTCCCATGCAATATGAATTTGCCATTGTCATTAAAGTGATCATCCACCTCCATCATCTTCTTATACTTCTGCTGCCCAATGTAGGTGCCTGCTTGCTTTAGCTGAGTAGCTGGGATCTAAGATTTACTAGGACTGTCCACCCCTCTGTGGCCATGCCAGTTGCCAAAAAAGAGCACAAGTTCTTTTGTGATAACTTTTTGAAAATAGTTAACCACTTTTTACATATATGCTTTCTGTTTTGGGCCAGGGTTTTTGGACTCACTTTTGAAATGAACTGATATTTTCCTGTTGTCTAGTATATTTTATGAGAACCAGCAGCAATGGGTATACCACTGAAAAACCTGAATGGCAAGGTTGGGGGCAGATCATTCTGGGGAAGGTCTATCTATGTAGCCATTAAGAGCCAACACCAACTTGATGGAATATAATCAGTCAATCGATCAACCATTAACCATTATATCTATTTTGATATAGATTTTGAATTATTCTAGAAAATTGATCTCCAAAATTCATGTATTCTGAGGTAGAAAATGAAAATGACCAACAAATCTCTTTGTTGCATTTAACTATAATATTAATAATTGCTTATTCTGATTATTAGTCAAATAGATTGCATTAAGAATTTTCCATATCAGATGCGCCATTAATCTGCCTTTAATAAATCCTGTTTGGTCTTCATGAACATATTTGGGAAGTAAATTAGCTGTCCTGTTTGCTAATACGCTTGCAAAAATGTGGTCATTTTTGTTAATTAATGTTATTGTTCTATATGAGTCCCTAAGATCCATTTTTTTAGGTTTAGGTAAGACATTTGGAAGACCTTAAGGGCCAGGTTGGGGACAGGTAATCCTGGAGAAAATCTGAAGCATAGAAGTGAAGGAGAGGTGCAGATGCTTCAGGTAGCATTACCTTTGAAGAAACAGGTAACCATGTCAAGCAAGGAATGTGCATTCTATCTTTTTTTTTTTCTGTGTGGTGCTAAGTTAAGTCTAATTGTGTCTAATTGTCTGTACAAACAGAAAATTGGGTTTTAGGTTAGCCCTGACACAAACCTTAAGTAGGTTGAAGAAGTTCTATTGTCTTCTCTACAAACTTTTTAGGATTTGTAATTATGTTTTGAACCTCCTTCTGTCTCTTTTGTAGAAAGATTCTGTCTGGAAGTGAGATATTTGTAGCAAACCACCACCATCTTGTGATTTCCCTGAAGTATTGCATTTTATTTTGTAACTCTCCTTTAAGCTGCTGACCTTCATTGGACAGCTTTATCATTGCTAATATTAAATATTAAACCTGAAATAGTCAAAGTTAAAAGGGAGTTTTATATTTTATCTTAAAAACATTTGGACTATTTTGTTTATTTCTTATGAGACTGAATTGTCTCCCAAGGAAGGGAGAATCCTCCAGCCACACAATTCTAAGCTGCACAGCCAGGAGACTGCACTATAACAATTATTTCCAGTTTTTATTTTCTTACTTTTTAATTGCCAGGAAGGTAGCACAGGGCATGAGAACCCTATTTCTCTTACATGTGAGGCACACCCTGGAAAATAGCTGATGGCAGCAGGAATTACCAAGCTGCCACCCAGATCAGGAGGCATACCAAGCTATGAAGACCCGAGGGGTTCTGAGAGGGGATATTTGAGACCTCTAGTCTTCCATTTTATGGGCTCAGCCATTCTTCTACAGAATCTATTACTGTATTTGAGGATTATCTCTTCCCATCACTAATAACATCTGCCCCATCCTGCCATTATTTCTTAGTAACTAAACAAGAAAATGTGAATAAAAAACACAGAACCACAGACCACCAAAGGTATATTGGAGGACCTGGTCAGGAGTGAGTATCTTCTAAGTAGGCTCGAAGGAAGTTATTTTTAAATTGCTTTTATAACAGAAAAACCTAGTAAGGAAAATTGAATATGTAAATATGGTTTGGAGTAATAAAAGTGAAGGCTCCTTCATCTTGAGTTCAACTCAACTGACACATCCATGCAGTTTTTGTGGCAACAATAATAGAATTATAGAATCATCGGATTGAAAGGGTCATTGGAGGTCTCCTAGTCCAATCTTCTGCTCAGGGCAGGAATCCTCATTCTAGCATACTATCCCAGACAAATGGCTGTCCAATCTTTTCTTGAAACCCTCCAGTGATGGAACACCCATGACTTCAGGAGGCAGATTGTTCCATTGCTTAATAATTCCTCCTTATTTCAAATTTGGATCTCTTTCTGTTAAGCTTCCACCTGTTGGTTCTTGTCTTACCCTTGGGAGCTATGGAGAATAAATCCACACCCCTTCCCTGTGACAGCCCATCAGTTATTAGAAGACTGCTATCATGTCTTCCCACTTCCTTCTCTTCTTTAGGCTAAACATACCAAGTTTATTTAACCACTCTTCATAAGATTTCGCTTTCAAGCCCCTTACCATCCTTCTTGTTCTTCTCTGCACTCTTTCTAAAAAAGTGGTTTGCCATTACTCCTTTCAGGATGTTTTTGACTTCCCAGT